AGGAACAGAAAAGGAGGGAGGGAGGAGAAGGGAAGGAAGGAAGGAAGAGAAAGAGGGAGCAAGGAAGGGAGGGAGGGAGGAAAGAAGGAGGGGAAAGGGAAGAAGGGAGGGAGGAAGGGAAGAAGGGAATGGGAGGGAGAAAAGAAAGATGGAGGAACAGAAAATGAGGGAGGGAGGGAGAAGGGAAGGGAGGGCGCGAGGAAGGAAAGAAGGAGGGGAAAGGGAAGAAGGAAAGGACGTGGGAAGAGAGGAAGGAAGGATGGGAAGAAGGCAGGGAGGAAAGAAAGGAAGGAAGGAAGGAAGGAAGGAAAGAGAGAAAGGAGAGCTAGTGAGAACATGCATCATGCAAAACATCCCAAGAAGCACCAGCCAGCCAGAAGGATCCCCGGGTTAAATTGATTGAGAAAGGAAGGCAAAAATCAACAAAATAAAATAAAAATGGAAGTTGTTCTAGTGCAGAATTACAGAAAATAAAGGATTCCCCCCCCCATCGCCCCCCCTCCCTTGGCATCAGGGAAAACGGGGCCACTGCATCCCTCGTGGGCACCCAGAAAGGTCGTACAACGGGGCCAAACTCCCTTAACGACCGTCTCGCCGAGCAACAAAAATGTTGGGCTCGGTTGCGGCCATATGACGAGGACTTCTTGTTCTCTTTTTTTGGGCCAATTCGGGACCCCTGGTGCCTTGTCCCTAACCCCAGCAATGCCCCAAATCCAAAAATGGGGACGGGGACACATTCATCCATCTCGGTCCAGCTTTTCCCCCGCTGACGTGAACGAGTGTTTATAGGAAGAAGACCTCCAAGATGGAGGCGGAGCCTGGGCCGTCCGTCAGCCCCCCCGATGGAGAGTCAACCGCCCCCAGGTCTGGAGGGGGCTGGTGAGGAAGAGGAGGAACAGCCGGGCTCAGGGCCTGATTCACAGAAGGCAGAGGAGAGGAGAGGAGAGCAGGGGACATCTATGAGCCGGTCCTCGGGACGGAAGAGCCACCATTGCTAGCCAGAGCCCCACCTTGGCTCTGGGGATCAAAAACAGGGGGCGGAGATGAATAGATGGGGCAGATAACTGGGCATCTCCCGGACAGACGGGCTTGTTAGAGAGAAATTATTTTGCCGGGGCTGCCGGCGGTCCGAATAAAGGAATCTTTTTGAGTTCACGTCAGAGGGTTTGTCAGGTTTGGCGAGCTGGGAGTCCGAACGCTTGAGCACTTGGTCCATCTGAGTTGAACCCCACCGAAGGAGATTTACCGGGTGCCGTCCCGTGCCAACCAGCCTTGCCCACGCGGGAGGGCAAAAGCCAACAGCCCTCAGGCCCCCCGCCACCCCTCCTGCCGCTAAAGTCCCCGAAAATGGCATCTTACTTTTGCAAACCGGCACCCGGCTGCTCCATACCCCGTCCTTCATGCACTCCATCTGGAAGGTCTCGCTTTCCGCATCGTCCTAAAAAAAGAAAAGAAAAAAAAAAGAGGCAGAAAAAAAACTTAGTTTCCACGCCCGGCAGGCCATTTATTTCGTTTAATTGCAGGTAGTCCTCGAATTACGGCCAGGAGGGAGCCTAGAATTTACATTGCTAAGTGAGAAATATATATAATATTTCTTTTCTATTCTCTTTCCATTTCTATTTATATTCT